AGGGTTTAACATACCCTGCTAATCATTACCATGATATTCTTGGTATCTAATATTGACTTCTTCACAAAACCCCACATGATGGTTATACGCAGCAAGCTTTAAGGTTATTATTGAACAGGATATCACAGTTGATTTAAATAATGGAAAATATTAACAGGAAAATTGCTGCTGAAAACGTTTCTCTAAACATATTAAAGGCTTTTGCTTGGAAGCACCATACTGCTGATGAAAGCAGGAGATAACCAAAAAGAACAATAGAAGGCAGCGTGAGGCAGAGATGAAAAATGGAAAATTGTGCTCCCTGTGGTTAACCCGAAGAATCATCTGAACAAATGACTTAGCGATGTAATATTTCACAGTGAACAGCAAATCCTTTTCCTTTAAAAAAAAAAAAAAAAAAAGTAATTCCATTATTCTGCATTTCAGAGAAAAAAAAATGCTCACATGGAAATCTCATCCAGCTTCATCTTCAGCTGTGAATCTTATTTGTCCCCTTGACCTTTCCCAAGTTGCCAAAGCCTGGCTATAGCTCATTAGTTACGGTTTCACAGGCTCATGGTGGCCACTACATAGAGGAATGAAGCACAAGAGGAAGAGGAAAAACTTTGCAGAGTGTTCCCACATGTTATATTTCTTAAAGTAACTGAGTTGTGTGGTGCCTTAAGATTCGGTCCTGGTTTTTATCTGAAGATAAGTCAGGATCTTCTTACACTGTGCATTTTATGTGTGAATACAAGACTTTAGAAAGTAGAAGTCAGTTCAGTTTTATTGAAATAACAAAAACAGTCACCTTAAGACCTGATAATAAAAGAAAGGAAACCCCAACAATCACACAACCTTGTATGAACAAGCACTTGGTGACAGTGGAAAGGAAAAACTCCCTTTAACAGGAAGAAACCTCTGGCAGGACCAGGCTTACGGAGGAGCAGCCATCTGCCTTTTGTTTTGTCCGATATGGAGAGAAGATATGATGGAGCATTTGTTGATATGAACCTGCAGACAGGATCATGGCTCTGCTAGTTCGAATGGATCAGGACTCCAGTTTCAAATGTTATCAGTCCAGTAAAGGGCCATTATGAGTCAATGTCACTCCTGTACAGTTACATCCACAACCTGTTGGGCAAAGACAATTTTTATGCACCATTGCAGTGGATTTTAAATCAGTATGTGATTGAAGTGTAGCCTTTCAGCCTTAATTCAAGGGATTTTACAAAACTTACTTTGAGCCTCAGAAAATGGCTCAAAGTAAGTAACAGTTACCACAAAATCTCCGTGTTACCCACTGAATTAAAGTTGAAAGTCTAACACTTCAATCACATATCAGTTGTTTGATTTAAAATCCACTGTTGATTCACAAATTGCGCATGAAAACAGCCACCCCCACAAAGTAGCAGGGTCATTATCACCAAATTTTATAGTTAATGTGCACAAAAAAGGTGGGGGATGTTTCCGCCGAAAAGAGGTGGAATAAATGCATGAATAAATGTTAACATGAGGCGGTGGCAGTGGTTAGACAGGAGTGGAAGAGTCTGTTAAGCTTCAATGAGACTCAAATTTTCACATGCTGTTTTATAAAACACCATAATATTAGAAAAGCTAATTGCTTGGATTAAAATAACCCTTTCACAATGTTATCCACATGTTGGCAAGTTTGATTTTCTATGCTACCAGGCTGACATAATCGAGTTTGCGTTTCTATTTATTACTGAGATAAGTAGAAAAAATGGGCAATAATGCACTGTGGACTAGCACTTGGAGTCAAAGTATAGGATAAAATCTGTGAAACTAAGCAATTAGTCCAAAAGCAGACATCATGTGGCCAATGGTTATTTTTAAGTGTTCGCTTGTTTTCATATCTTTCATTAAAGCATTTGGCAGTTTTCCTCATACGTGTCACGTACAACTTTTAAAGCCAGTTTTCAGTTTGCCAAAACTCCATGAAGACTCTGCCTGCTTGGCACAATTTATTATCCATTCGAGTGGTATAAACAATCTGTTTGATCCTGTTTGTTCAGTCGTTTCTCTAAAAACCCTTCATTGTTTTTGAGGAAGATGAGTTCTCCCCTCCTAAATTGTATTGCAAAAGCATTTCTGTCTGGCATTCTTGATGCTTCTGCTGGCCTGATGGGGCTTGTGTAACAATGTCTATATCCTGGAGGAAAACTTACTTTCAGCTCATCAATTATTTAAGTGTACGCACAGTCTGCAAAACTGCAAATACAGATTCTTACACTGTGTTCTTTTTCTATCAAGCAGTCCCCCGGAGGCTTTGTCAGGGGAAAGACGAACAGAACAGTTTAGGTAGAAAGGTCAAATAGTTATTTTAGCTATGACCTCTAAAATAGGCATTCAAATTGCCAACAGCAGTGTGAGTAGTGTTTTCTATGATTATGTTTCTCAAAATTACAAATGTTTAAGTGAAATCTCTCTCGTTGTACAAGTCGCAAATCTTAAGAACTCATAAGTGTTATCACAACCGCAATATTTTACACAACTCGAATCAGGAATCTTGTACCTGTCTTGTATTTTGCAGTTGTTTCACTTGGCAAGAAATTGCTTTTTTTTGTAGACACAACTGCCTTAGGGAAAAGCTGCTGTACATTATTTATCACATCTTTTATGCCTGAACAATTTAATTACGGTCGCTCTTTTTTTTTATCCTGTGCAAATAAGTTATGTGTCTTTAGAACACTGTGGCTGTAGTCAAGCATTTTTGTCGAGTTTATCATTGTAATCATTAGTTTTACGTCTTGTTGAGGGCAACATTGTCACGGCCAGCGGGGGCAGACCGTGTGGAGAGTGTGTGTGGTGGACCCAGGCGCGAACACAGGCGAGGAGACGGGAGTGAACTTAAACTGAAAGCGAGCCTTTATTTGGGCTGATGCAGAAGAGAGTAGACAAAACATAACAGGGACAGAGACTGCAACTAACCAAAAACCTAAACTGGAAAAACACTAACCTGACTGAAAGGCATAACTATGATCACTGTGAACAGAATGCTGTGCAGATGCATGGAAACTGAACCAAGTGGCGTGACGAAAGAGACGTGAACATGACCTGCACGGAACCTCATCGTGCGGCTGCATGAAAAACAACATAAACCAAATGGCAAACATGAACTGCACAGAATCCTGAAAAACACTTCACTTGACCAGGGAGGGGGTACACAGATGACACGACGACAAACACAGGAAGACTGAGGACTTAAATACACACATGAGGTGATCAGGGGAAGTGGAGACACATGAGAACACAGCTGACTCGAATGAAACATAATGACAATACAGGGGAGAGTAACACCAACTACAATGAACAATGGCTGTATCCCAATTCAGGGTCTGCAGCCTTAAAGTACGCAGCCTCAACGATCCTCAAGGGCCGCGTACTCAAAGACCGCTAAGGCCGGAAGTGCGAGGCTTGTGAAATGAGACGGTCTAGCCTCCGTCGCGCTGCCCAGGTTGCCTAGCAACCATGATACTAACAGCTGGAAAGGTTTCATACAGCTTCGTTTGACAGAAATGAAAATCTTTTGTTCAGTTGTTTGTTTGTTTCTACATGAGCTTTGATCATTCTCTGATTAAGCTCAGCTATTGAACGGCGTATATTTTAAAGTAAAGGCTTTAAAACCAAGTTAGTACAAACGTCACTAATGTCACATAACTTTGCCGACATGT